TTCTATGATGTCTTTAATATAATTTATAGTAATTTAGGATATTTTCTATAGTAAATTTACTAAAAATCTTGATTTGTTTTAATACAGTCGACCCCCCATAACACTGTTGATTATTCCGTTTTATATGAATTCTATGTTGTACGAGTCACTTAGATTTTACAAATACGTAAGCCGTTCACAGTCCGGCACAGATATTTGTAAAATCTAAGTGACTCGTACTACATGGAATTCATATAAAACGGAATTATCAACAGTGTTATAGTGGAGTCGACTGTATCTCACTCCTATACTTTTGAATGGAGGAGTTTGTTTTATATGTAGTTTAGTGGTAAATAGAAAATTCACAATTTTTTCGTGCTTAAAATGCCTTTATTTTCCACGGAAACGGTGAAGAAATAACCGCAAATATTGTTATAATGTTATTTCTACGAGAGCAATGTAAAAAGCAGTGTACTTAGTAGTGTATTTCTATGGATAAACGGAGAAAATATAGTTATTCTATAGATTAATTAATATAAAGCCTATTATTATTATAACGAAATTAATCAAAATACAGTTATCTGCAATGGAAAACTGTATTCATTGTACAATTTTTCAACCACAAGCTACAGTAAGAATTAAATAATAATAATAAAATTGTATATTAACTAAAACATTCTTAAATTATTGAGAAAAATCGTAAGAATTCACATTAAATTATATACATTCGAACCTCTAAACAACTGTCAGTGACTAGAAAAAAAATGGCCGCTTTTTAAAAGTAACCGTTGTTGCGGGTGATCGTTATTGAAGATTCTACTGTACGTTTAATATTATTATTTTTAATGTTACAATGATTCATGTTCTTAAAGCGTAGAATATAAATATACACAATGAAAGCTTTATTCAACTCGGCTTTATTAATGAAGCATGAAATTATAGTTTTATTTTCAGATAATATTTGTTTTTTTTTTTTTTTTTAATTTTTATGAATAATGTAAATGTTTTTCTTATATTTTACTCTTTTTTCAGCTGTAAATTGAGAAATTCTAACATATTTTTGCTGAAATTTTGCCATTTTGATTCATTAAATAATTTATTGTATAATTAAATTGATTTAAAAAGTTGGCAACATTGCGGTTTGATATATTTGTGTCTCCATCTATTGAGAAAAAGTTAATTTATTAGGAAAGACATTTTGGATTATTATTATTATTTTTATTTTTACTTCGCCAGACGTGACTGCAATAAGAAACATTTAAATTACACTTAATTTTTTAATAATTTAGGTTAATGGATAATATAGAATTAACGATTTACCTAAATAAGTAAATAGAGTAGAACATGGAAGTATTGTATTTCAATTTTAACTCCTTAATTGAATGCCAATATCTGATATTTTAATCGTAAATTGAACGTTTAAAAATTTTTATCTAAATATATAATTTATTTTTATAACTTTTAATTAGATAAGGATGCTAAATGATAAATTTAAGAATATTTTAAAAGATAAATAACATTAAATGTCCTCTTTATACACGCGCCTACCAGAAGTCGCGGGTTTGAGCCTTACCAAAAGGCTGGTCACGTGAAGTTTTTCGAGTTTTCTTAATGGGCTTTCTTCACCATTCGTTCTCGGATCTCTCGGAGCGGGGGGACTGACACTTTAAACCGGTGGTTTTCGACCGTGGTACCGCGAAATACTGTGCCGAACAGTCCCTAAATAATTCTTACGTTTATTACTACAGATACAAAGAGCGCAGTAACTCTACACCGATAAGGAAGTAGAATGCCTCATCATCTTGAAGGTACCGCCATTACGAAAACATTGCCTTAACCGCCAGGCCATCCGACCGATCCATTTTGTTGTCGCTTCTCTTAAGGAGATAAAGTGCTTAGAACACACGAATTTTATCAAAAATACAAATTCGATTCTTATATAAATCACATTCCAATTCAAATATAAATTCAAAATTTAAATAGAAAAATATTTAACCTCATTCAGAGCCAAATACAGTTTTGCTTTTAGTTTGAATTTTGTGGTATGGAAAATACGATTTATTTACTATTTAAATGTTTATTTAACCGAACTGTTTATTATTTTACCACCATATCAATTGTTATAATACAATATATAATCGTAGAAATAGGAATACACGAAAAAACAGCCTTTTTTCCCCTTTAAATAATATAATATAAATAAAAAAAAAACACCCCGATAATCAAAGTACATTGTAAATGTTTTACTTCTATAGAATTTTATTATTATTGAAATTTTTTTTCTAAATAAAATATAAGCATAAATTTAAATCTAAATTATATAATAATAATAATAATAATTTATGTTTTTTTTCGTAAATTATAACATAGGACCACAACTTTATAAATTCGTTGTTTGCATGTTTCTATTCATTCGTTCATTTATTAAATATTAATAATTCTGTATTGACTTATTGTTATTCGAGTGCATTTAATGGAATAATAAAATCGATGAGGTTTGGCACAAACCACAAATATATTTGACAAAGATAAACGTGCATTCTATTCAAATCAAATGCGACATCTTTATATTGTCATAGCCAAACGTTAGAGACAACAAACAGAAATCGTCACGTTATATGGCCGCTTGCCAATTTTTCATTAATTTTGATTGGTCGATGCTACGACATTTTTTTCCGATTTAAAAAATTTTTTCTGCTTCAAAAGTGCTAAAAGGGCTTTTTATTACGATTAAATCGTACTAATGACGATTTTCCTCGGGTCCGACGAGCACCGAAGGATGAAACCCAAGATTGCCCACTCAAAATCGGCCATTGCGATGATTCTTGTATGGCAATCGATACGACATTTTTAGATTTTCTTTTGATTCTTAATTACAATTTAACACTTTAAATTCTCAATTTTTAAAGCCTAAATTGATCTCATTAGTTAAATATTTCAAAGTCTTGTATTTAAAATTCATATTAGCGAGGTTGCGGCCGAATTTTTCTTCTCTTAAACGTCGAACGTCGAACGTCGAGCGCCGCTATCTTGTAAGCAACGCTCGACGTTCGACGTTCACGTTTTAGACATGAAAACTTCGGCCGCAACCTCGCTAATTTGAATTTTTTATGATCTTGCGAATTACCCTAATCGATAATCCGGTAATCCGCCGAAAAGTATTGGATAATAATCCGGTGTGCTTTCTAACGGCCGGTTAGCCGAGGCAATGCGTCGGCTAAGGACGAGAAATGCTGGCAAACTCCCGAAAATCTTTCGTGAGTGGTCCGTTCGGATTTGTTGGACCCATCCCTCACCATCCGGCCGCCATATTGTGGGCCTGGCTGAACCCGTAATGGGCTCACTCAGGAAGGCCTTCTTAGTGCCACGGGGCGGAGAGAATTAAAATACATATATAAAGGAAAATATCTTTGAAGCACGCATCGGGTTCTGATGGCCTGTATAATGCCGCGCGATGGTTTCTAAACCGTCGGTGGTTTCGTGTAATCGTTGAAGATGGATTAATCGATGGTTACATCTGACCATAGTCTTAACTTTTTTGTCTTTTTGCTCTTTTCGTCCCGAAGCCACTAAGAGGACCTTTACATTTAAACGTGTTCTCGTGGATTCGAACAGGTGTACTGGGGAAGTCGGGTTTTCTAGCAAAAATTTAACTAAAATATGTAACGTAACAAAATATGTTCAATTCTGAAAATTAATTTAATTAGAATTATTCACTTACTTTCCAGAACTTACTTAATGACGGTAGCAGCCAATTTATGATTTTGAACTTATGGCGACACTAAGCACGAGTGGAAAATACCTGCAGAGTACGACTGTTTTTTGTGGCAAAGGGGACTTTTGAGATTCGTCGTAAGTGAGTAACTGTGCAGCGAATGCGATTTGGGGCCGAAAATTTAATTCCGAAAGGACCATTTTATCCTTCCCGATTTTGTACGATAGGGAAGGACACAGTCTTCCATTAAATACGTTCATTTTTTATGTCGACTGTTCCCAGTAAATCTGTTCGAGTGACATAAACAAACTAAGCATGCTTTGTTGTTCACACGTTGGTCGCAAGTAAAACGCGCATTGTCTAGTGAGCGTTTGGGTTTCCATAAGGTGACCAGTGAGTGAGCTCCAAGCAGCATCGAAAGCATTCGCGTAAGGATCTGTTTTTGAAGCATTCGTGCCGTTATGGGGAAGATGGTCAAGAATTTTTGAGTTTCATCATCACTTTCAACCCGAAATCAAGAAATAATCCACGATATGGAAGCATATAGTTCTATCAGCAGAAAGTTCAAGCGTCAACAAGTGCTGGAAAGAGTTTGGCGATTCTTTTGGAATATTTGTGGTTATTTGCACCCGAAGTTCTCACCAAAAAAGTGAATGCCGACGCTTTTCTACGGCAATACGCTCCCGCAGTTGCATCGTTGCAGAAGTAAAAAGCTTTGGCCCAGCCGCTCTACAGACTAGACTACGTCCTCTCACAGTTCCATCTTTTTCCATAATTGAAGAAGCACTTTACAATGAAACGTTACCAGTCGGACGACAAGATTCAAGCCGAAGTTTATAAATGGCTATACCAATTATAGAGATTAGGTGTTTTCATCACGGGCTTGTACTGCACTGGGATAAATGTGTCCTCAAAAACGGTGACTATGTTAAGATGGCAACCTACCACTTTGGCGAACCCGAATCCGGACGTGTCGAAAAATTCCCAAGAAGTTTTCGGGGGGGGAGAGATCCAACCGAATATGTCGGCCTCCCCATTGTGGGCCTGGCCAAACTCATAATAGGCTTGCTTGAAAGAGGCCCTCTTAGTGCCCACAGGGCGGAAAGAGTTAAAAAAAAAGCTCTATGTAATTAATAAAAGTCAACAAAACATTTTAATTTTAATTATATTAATAATTGTTTATTTATATTTATTATTAATTTAACATAATCCGCAAGAAATATTTTAAATAAATTATTTCTTTTTCCTTAACGGTAGATGTATAAAATAATCCTATTGGTTGATGTTTTGTAAACAGAAAGTGTTGCCAACGAAAACAAATACCATCGGACTGGCGTGGTTACCGTAATGTGACATATTACTTAGAAGATCGTAGAAGAGATAGATTAATGTTTTAGAGTTAAATATATAGAAAAATTATCGTGTAGATTGATTAAAGATTAGAAATGGCCATCGGTAGTGCAAAAATGCGCGATGGAGAATATACTAAAGTTATTTACACAATGGTAAATGTTATTTTGTTATTTTTAATCGGATCTTTTGAATTTTTAAGATGATTTAAGGGTTAATGTTTATCTAGGTAGTCCAAGATGGCCGCACAGTGGGGACCCACGTTCTAACCTAACCTAACCTATTCTNTATAAATGGCTATACCAATTATAGAGATTAGGTGTTTTCATCACGGGCTTGTACTGCACTGGGATAAATGTGTCCTCAAAAACGGTGACTATGTTAAAAAGTTGAGAAAAACGAGCCGTTGAAAGTGCCACGTCACTTAATTGTATAGACAACTTGCATGTGACGTATTGTGGTGCCGGATGTACTGTACGTGATTGCGTATGTGCGTTTTGTCTGGCGCCATATTTGTGACGTTTCCATTCCGTTATAACGTCATCTGATACATAACTGAGTAACTAAACTTTAAATGAGGGAAGGTGCAAACTTTGAGTGTTTCACCTAATGAAAGGATAAGATGTAAGAAATTTTTAAAACAGAATAAAACAAACTCGACAATCAGAAGGAAAAAATTATCACACCACTTACAAGTGATGCCGTGCAATCAGAATCGGATCTACATAGGAACTTTTTTTTCTTAATACTCTTTTCGTCCTGCCGGCACTAAGAGGGCCTCTTATAACAGGCCCATTATGGGTTCGGCCAGGCCCACAATGGGGCGACCGGGTGGTGAGGAACGATGCCCGACATATCCGAACGGACTATCCCCCGAAAAATTCCTGGGATTCCTTGACCTGTCTCGATTCGATCCCGGGTCCCCCAGAGCGGTAGGCTGCCACCTTGACCGCTCGGCCATCCGGCCTTCTACATAGGGACTAATAGGGCTTAAGCCCTGGGCCCCAAGTGTCAAGGGCCCACAAAAATTAAATTATTATCATAAATTTTTATTACTTTTTCATTAACAATGAGCACTTATCGTAAAAAATAGTTAATAATAATAATAATAATAATTTATGTTTTTTTTCGTAAATTATAACATAGGACCACAACTTTATAAATTCGTTGTTTGCATGTTTCTATTCATTCGTTCATTTATTAAATATTAATAATTCTGTATTGACTTATTGTTATTCGAGTGCATTTAATGGAATAATAAAATCGATGAGGTTTGGCACAAACCACAAATATATTTGACAAAGATAAACGTGCATTCTATTCAAATCAAATGCGACATCTTTATATTGTCATAGCCAATCGTTAGAGACAACAAACAGAAATCGTCACGTTATATGGCCGCTTGCCAATTTTTCATTAATTTTGATTGGTCGATGCTACGACATTTTTTTCCGATTTAAAAAATTTTTCTGCTTCAAAAGTGCTAAAAGGGCTTTTTATTACGATTAAATCGTACTAATGACGATTTTCCTCGGGTCCGACGAGCACCGAAGGATGAAACCCAAGATTGCCCACTCAAAATCGGCCATTGCGATGATTCTTGTATGGCAATCGATACGACATTTTTAGATTTTCTTTTGATTCTTAATTACAATTTAACACTTTAAATTCTCAATTTTTAAAGCCTAAATTGATCTCATTAGTTAAATATTTCAAAGTCTTGTAATTTAATTTAATAGCGAGGTTGCGGCCGAAGTTTTCATGTTTTAGTTGAANAATTGATCTGTCATCAATTTTCTGCGACCCCCCAAATGTTTTTCATGACCCCCACTTTGAGAATCATTGGTCTAGAGCAAGCAAAATGCAATGCATCTTGCTCTCAACATCATTGTTGTTCTGAAAACGCTTCCTTTGCAGTTTCTTCTTCAGTATAAGGAACAAGTGAAGGTCACATGGTGCCAGATCAGAACCGTAAGGTACTGAAGACATTATTGTGTGGCTGTAGCAGTGTGCAGGTGTTGTGTTATTGCCCAACAAAAATGACACTCATTCGAGACCTAGATGCTTTTTCTTGATGGCTGATTTCAGTTTGTAGAAGGATGCACAGTAATGAGCAGCATTGACAGTCCTTCCATATGCAAGTAATTTCACAAGGAAAACTTCTTTGACATTCAGAAAACAGTCAAGATCTTTCCTTCTTGTATTTGTGCAATTTTTTTTTCAGTCTCGTGCGTGTTTGTCTCTTCTGGCTTACTGTTATACGTTCGTTCAAGATTTTGTTAACTCTGCAAATTGTTACGAACAGTTATGTGCATTATGTCCGGAGATCGACGACTATAAATTATATTATGCCCAGGCTCTGTATCAGGCTTGCTTATATCAAGAAGCAATGAAAGTTACTTGTCAAATAGATAATCCTGCTTATCAAACAAAAGTAAGCATTATGATTAAATATATATTTTCTCTTATTTTATAAAAATAATTTATTAATGATTACATTTTTTATTGACAGATAGTCAAGTTACAAGGTGCTATTAAATATGGAGAAGAAGATTTAAGTGCTGCGAAAGTAAGAAAACTATTTTTTATGGATGAAAATTAATTGTTATATTTATTGTTCTATAATAATTATATTTATAATTTAGAGTTTAGTTGACCAATGCCCTACAGATGATCCAGATACTGAAGTTAATTTAGGCTGTCTCTTATACAAGGTAAATGTAATATTACAGAATCTTGATTTAAAATTGAGGAGATCAATCAATTTAGTGGTCTGGTATTAAGACAAGAATTTGTTTACAAGAATGTGATATACACAAAATGATAGCCCATCTGTCCTCTATTTTTCAATGTAACCACCATCTGCATTTACTGGTATACCATTACCTCACATTCCCTTGTGAAGAAGGTTATGTCGTAGGGGTTGCCAAAGTGGTTGGTATCTACCTTGGGGGTCGATATAACATTATTGGGGGGTTGATTGAAAAATTGTAACTAAAAATCACAAATATAACTACACATATTATTATGCTTTTGAATATTGTTTCAATGAATTTAATAGTACAGCTGTGACAATAGTACAATATGTGTAATATTGCTACGATCAAGTCACACAGGACAGACGAAAATTGCTGAGTCCGTGCTCTGGTTCTTACGTAGTACATGTCAATCATTCACAGCATTCATAAGCTTGTGTCTGATTTGCAGTATGCTAACATTATTAGCACCTCTACAGCCGTTTTTAAGCCACTGTTCGTTTAATTTTAGTATTTCACATATATACAATAAATGCAAAACATGTAAAATTGAAAGAAATGTATTAAAATAGTAAGAGTTTTTTGTTTTGCTTGTAACACAAACTTTTTGGAGGGGTCTATGTGAAGTTTCAAAAAGTTGTAGGGGGTTGACAATCAAAACAGTTTAGCAACCCCTGGTCTAGAGCAGTGTTTCTCAAGGTTTTTGGTTCATGACCCCCCCACTTTAAAATTTTAAAGGACCCCCTGAAGAATGGGTATGTGTAGAAAAACATCCTGAAGCGGGGATTAATTTAAATTCAGAAGGACTTAATTTCTTTTGTTTAATTGCATTGAAACACTCATAATTTTAATAGCAGATTTATTTTTAGTATCATTAAAAATTAATAACTTATCTTTGGTACATCTTTGAACTAAATATTCTATGTATATGTTTTGACATTAACTTAACTAATTGAGTTTACTAAACATATTTTAAATTAAATTTAATGTGATGGGTGAGCCTGCTTATTTTGGCACAATAAGTTAAACCTGGGTTTAATATCAGTCGGTGCAGGTCTCATAGCAATTTCTATGTTGCAAAGATGAGAGTGCTGCTTTGTTTTGATGTTGGTCATTACTGAAAATGCCATTTTGCATAAATAAGAGGTTGCAAATTGTAAGAGAACTGCCATTGCTAATTCAGAGAGTAGCGAATACTCTGCTTTCACACTAAGCCAAAAAGGATCTACTATTTCTAAACATGAATCCATAGTTAGTTTATAAAATATTTGAAAAAAAAATTGATCTGTCATCAATTTTCTGCGACCCCCCAAATGTTTTTCATGACCCCCACTTTGAGAATCATTGGTCTAGAGCAAGCAAAATGCAATGCATCTTGCTCTCAACATCATTGTTGTTCTGAAAACGCTTCCTTTGCAGTTTCTTCTTCAGTATAAGGAACAAGTGAAGGTCACATGGTGCCAGATCAGAACCGTAAGGTACTGAAGACATTATTGTGTGGCTGTAGCAGTGTGCAGGTGTTGTGTTATTGCCCAACAAAAATGACACTCATTCGAGACCTAGATGCTTTTTCTTGATGGCTGATTTCAGTTTGTAGAAGGATGCACAGTAATGAGCAGCATTGACAGTCCTTCCATATGCAAGTAATTTCACAAGGAAAACTTCTTTGACATTCAGAAAACAGTCAAGATCTTTCCTGCAGAATTTGTCACTTTGAAATTTTTGTAGGAGGAGAACTTGTGTGCCTCCATTCCATACATGCAACTTTTGATTCATGTGTGAAGTGGTGGATCCATATCTTGTCTCCTGTCACTATCTGATCCAGAAAGGCATTTCCATCCTTCTGATAATGAATGAGTTGTTCCAAACACAATCCCATTTGATCAAAACAATTCAAAGCTGTGAGCTGGCAAGGCACCCATCTTGCAGCCACTTTTCTGTATCCTAGTGTTTCCCAAATGATATTATGAGCTGTGTCAAAGGAGATTTCCAATTGTTCAACACCTCAAACACTTTGATCTTTTTGTTTTTTTGAATCAAAGAAATCATACATTTATTATTCTCTTTCTCACAGGACAAACAGCCAGTTTGCTGTTTATCAAATAAACTCATTCACCCTCTGGAGAACTCTCAACACCATTTCTGCAAGGCCTGTTCAGACATTACAGCTTCTCCACAAATCTTAACCAACCTTCCGTGAATTTCAATCCCACATTGACCTTTAGCATATTTGTACCAAATTAGAGCCTACACCTCTTAATTAGTCCAGCTCTCAAACATTCAAATTCTTGCCGTCTCTTCCTGTCAATAAGAGTGGACATGCTTGGAATGACAAATAGTTCCAATTGACTGGATTTTGCCAGTACCACTATGACAAACAATTCATACAGATGACAGATGTCATTGTTATGAATTCTTACAAATCACCAAAATTTATATATTGATCTCTCCTCATACTTTTCAGATTATTATAACATTAATAATTAAGAATATTTTTATCAACCATTTATTCAAATAGTTCTATTTTCTGATATTCTTTGGTTTATAACTAATTATGTTGAAACCTTTTGTGTATTCATAAGCCAAAATTAATAATAATTTTGGTTTTAATCTTCTGTTCTAGACATCACTTGTCTAGAAATGCAGCCAAATTCACTTATTGTGCTTGTATTAACAATTTATGTTCAGATTGATTATTTTAGTCTGAAAACAAATTGTTAAAACAAGCACAACGAGTTTGGCTATATTTTTAGACAAGTGAAGCTCATAGCAGAAGGTTAAATCCAAAATTATTATTGATTTTGGCTTACAAATAGATGGAAAGCTTCAAAATAATTCTATTTTCATTTTTAGAAATCTGTTGATAAAACTGCTTATAAATATAATTTTAGTGATAAAGGTTTATATATATATATAAATTATATAATGTCAATATAAATTATTGACATTAAAAATAAATAAATAAATAAAGCTTTGAAATATATATTTAAAAAAAAAATTGTATATTAAAATATTAAACTTTATCCTATGCATAATTCTTAATTGAGATCAAGCCCAATTTCCGCGTAGGACCACTTTTTATATACAGGAAATGTCCTATAAAACTCAATGGGAGAGAATCTGGAGGGAGGTTAATCGTCGGTTTTATAAATTCAACAGTGTAATAATACTTCAGACGTATCTTTTCAAGTTGCGCAAATGTGTCGTCACAATATTCTACGCTGATTTTCAAGAATAAAAGATTACAAATTCTTTTTGTAGGATAGGAGATTGCTTCACAACATGCAAGTTACGTCTATTCCGGCGACCTCGCCCATCTGTCACGTGCTCGGCAGTATCACCCAGCATGCGTTTCGAAACCGGCTTCTCATCGCTGTTTATAAAACAATTTTGCGGTTGTGAGAATTTTAGTTTTAAATGAGTCTTTATTGCTCGTTCGTCTTTACAAGGTTAACTTTTGTGAAGACGAAAAGTTCTAATGATGATATTTGGATATTTATTTTAATATATTTATAATTTCGAGGAATAAAATGAGATTTTTACATCAAATTTGCCAATAAAACTCTATTAATTTCTTCTTCGTACAAGTAATAAATGAATCGAAAATAAATATTTTACTGGCTTATTAATTTAAAAAAATCATTGAAAAGTTTAAATATTCTGTAAATAAAATTTTTAAAATTAATTTCTAAAATTTTTTTCAAATTNAAGGTTTTCTTCCATAAAATTAATTGATTCTAGACTAATTTGACTCAACATTTCCAAAACACGTATAATTTTTTGGGAATAATCCATATAAACTATGCTATAAACAAAAAATTGTAGGATTACTTACCAAGCATGCACTGTTCAATGACACCATTGCTTAAACTTGTTTTTGTCGTGGAGCGGCACATTGAACAGGGGCATGTGTGTTTCCTGATAAATTATTTTTCTGCGAAAAATTTGCTGAACTTTGGAGACATCATTAATATAAATATAATTTTTATGGATGTTAAATAATAAATGGTTTTTAGTAGGTTCACTGCTCATTTAAACTCAACGGTTTGTGCAATTTCTGCTATTGGTCTAGATTCGACCAATCCTGTCGCGACACAAGTCAGCGATGACATTTTACCATTATATAGGCGTCTCTTTTAGCGTGTTTATACGAATATGGTCACAATTTTTCGCTTGATAACTAAGAAATATAATATTTTATTAAGTTTTTGATATATTATTTGTCTGTAACATTCAATTACAAGATTAGAAACTACTGGGCATACTTTCTCTTTAGTGTTTCTTTTTTTGCAATCTGGATATAGCATTTGATGGTATTGCATACAATGCAACACAAACTCCTTTTGTTCTTCAACTATAGTCAATAATCTATGAAAGTCTTATAATAATTTAATAGCTCTTTCAGAAGAGTCATTTACAGCTCTTAATATGTTAACTATCATTTGGGCTGCTAAATATGAAGTGTTGTTTTTTTCATGTTGAAGACATTCCTGGAGAAAACTTTTATCCATTTGTGGTGTTCATATGAGTGAGACAGTACGATCCACGAATGAAATGTACAGAAACGAACATGCAACAACTACAAGGATATACACTGCCCCTTTATTACACTTTGAACAATCGGTTCTATACAAGGATCCCAACTGATTTGTATTGTTTTTCATTCTTACAAAGAGGTGTATTAAACAGAGAACTCTATGTTCCTTAACAAGGCATGATTATATTGTATTCCGGGTGCATAATAATTATTTTTTCCATAACCATGTAACTAAAACTACCTTAACTTAAAGCTAATTTAATACTAAGGAAATAATAAGGAAGATAAGACAGCAGGAAGGTATGAGAAATGAAGGGATGATTTCACCTGGGTCTTTCTTTCTTCTTGGTTGATGTTCACTTTGGGTAGGATTCCCTTTTCTTTTCTTCTTCTCCAAAGAAGGTGCCTTTCATCTCCTCTATTTTTATCTCTCGTTTTCTATTGAAGCTCTCAAATACACTATCCTCTTGATCTCTCAGCATAGAGATTCCACTTCCTTATTATGATTCTCGACCTATTCTGAAGTGCTTATGTAGTTTTTTCTTAGTCCCTTGGAATGTAGTTTCTTCTTAGTTCCTTGCTGGACTCTACCAAAAGTCTTCTGCCCTCTCCACAAAGTCGTGCTTAGTGCTTCTTTCAACACGTCTGGTTTTCTCTGTGTCTAGTCCAAAAAGTGACTCGTCTCTTCGCTTTTTTTTCTCAGGCCACCCTACCCATTATTGTCACGTCCAATTCTCAGAACCGCTAATCTTATCCAAAAGCAATAACGGTCGTTTGGAAGGTTCTAGAAGGAACAGACAAAGGGAATAGAAGAAATTGGGAAAAAAAGATTGGAATTATAACTATATACAATTAAAAATACATTTGTAGATATGGCTGACAGCCACACATTTTTAGTTGAGAAAAGAATCCTCTACTTTGAATTGATATAAATTTGATTGAATTGATATTCTCATTTTAGAGAAAACAATTGATGACTTTATATCAATTCAAAGTCATCAATTGTTTTCTCTAAAATGAGAAACAAATCAATGAGACAAGGTAAATAAAAGTATGCTACTTACCAAATAATTTGCTATCCACTTCTTCATGCAGAGGAATAAATTTTCTCCCTATACATTGTTCTCTGTCAAAAATGACCAACATTTTACTTTTGGTTTGAAGGTCAATGTCATCATTAAAGAGAGATAGAACTGCCAGTTCTTTGGATAAATACTGTTGGCTATGTGTTGGCTATGCTTCTAAGAAGTGTTGGCTATGCTTCTATGAAGCTGCTATAGAAATGGTTGTATCTATCACTTCATATGATTTTAAGGACTTCAAGAAGCAGAGATTTTGATTAGGGACTTTTATAGCTGCACTTCACTTAAGCCATGGTTTAATGTAAACTGTTACAACAATCAGAGAAATATCACATAATGCTTCCTCTTCTGTGATGGATAGTTTTTCTGATTTTAGAAACAATTTTAGGGAATAAATTGCTCTTGCCATCCTTTGAGCTTGATGCAAAGCTTTCTCACTTTTTCCTCCCAAAAGATCATGCACTCATGAACTATTGATACAAGATATGCACTAACTTATAGTTAACTTAACCTCTTGTATGTTGTAAAAGAAAGCAGCCAGCGCTTGTATATTTGATGGCAATTTGCCTCTAGTTATCTGGTGTTTCATGTTCCCTATCAAAAGCACACTATCCTTGGGATTGCATAATTTATACAGCATAATGTTAGTGTAAAGGCACACAAATACAGTAATACCTCGACTTACGCTACCTCGACTTACTCTACCCCGACTTACGCAAACCCAAAGTTACGCAATTTTCAAATCTCGTCGATTTGTCTTTTGTTTGAGCGCCACGCAACTATTGATTACTCACTCCCCCCATACTATTGTTCAACTTACATGTTCGGACATGTCGTGCGACACATAGCTACAATTTATTTTGTGTTATTTATTTCTGTATTTGTTATATCTACAGAGACTTGAGAAACTCTATGTGGTGATTTCTTGTAACCGTGAATGAATCAAAAGACGAGATAAAATTAACGAGAACATTTATTAGCTTACATATATCCAACTTGGATTTTACACAAATTGTGAAATTATATCCCAACTTACGCGAGTTTGACTTACGTGGTTATCGCTTGGTTCCACCTATCGCGTAAGTTCGGGGTATTACTGTACATCTAATGCAACTGGAAACTAAACACAAACTGACAGTGCTCCAAGTATAAAGACCAGTCCAAGCTTGAGAGAAGCACAACATATTCAGATTTATTTTTGACATATCGATACTCAAGTCAGCACAGGTTAATATTTGTTCATTGCCAAGAAATTAAATATGGACATGTTTTTGAGTGAAAGGAAAAAATGAGCAGGTGGGCATTCAAAAATTTTGAAGTTGGAAATGAACATTGGCTTATAATGTCCTTTACTATTTTTATTATGTGTTTTGAGATTTTAAATGTTTCATTTTTTATATATACATGATAACTTAATGACATAAGCCCCCCTTTTTTGTCATAACTTGATATTCTATTCTTGTATCATATGATAATCTATCACACTTTATTGAGTCCTAAATCTCTGTAATGGTTATAATATAATGATATTCAAGTTATAAAAAACTTAATTAATGTCTACATTTATTTAGATTAACAGTTTGTTTGTGTAACTTCTTAGTAGTTTAATCAAATAATTTTCTATTATATATCTTTAACAGTTTATATCATTAATCTGTTTTATTACATTTTATTTAATTTTCCCTGTTTTTTTTTAAAAATAGGAAGGAAAATATGAAGAAGCTTGTGCAAAATTTAACACTGCAATTCAAGTTGAAGGTTACCGTCCAGGTTAATATTAGTAAAGTTATATATATATTTTTTATTAACATTAGAAAAACATACATTTTTTTTCATACTATAATAGTTAATTATAAAAATCATGATATTGTTTTTTTATGCTGATTTATGCATTACAGTTTGCACTAAAAGATAGTCAGATTCTTTTCAGTCTATAATATGGCTAATTAATAATTAAGACACTAAGTAATTTGTACTAGAGATTAGTGGTTAAGCTGCCATCTTGTTTTATATTTAATCATTTGAAATAAATAAATTTAATTTAGAATATTCTGGAAGAAAAGATTAGCCCAGAGCCGGACTCAAACTTACAAAATCCTGCTTATTATTGCCTTATCAATTACCCTACTGAGAGGTTTGGATAGCATATCTTAATTATTAGTTAGACATATTATAAGAATCTGGCCGTATTTTTTATTATTAACTAATATCAGGCTTAGTTTTATATGTAACTACACAATAAAAGAGAATAGTAATTTGTAATGAAATATTAATTATAATTAAAAATGTTAGATCTGTAAGAAATAATATTGTAATTTTGAATGAAATAGTAACAATGCACCATAAATTGTTTTTTCTTGGTGAAGAAAAGTAAACTATGAAAATGTTTAATGATTTATATGATAACCTCTTACTTTTCTTGTATCTGTTCTAAATTTTCAAAAAATCTATTTATTTTCAAGACACACAACTATTTGTAAATTTGTACCTTTTTTTTTATGGATTGTATTACTTTTGTTACTGTAAACGTATTCTGATATTCATGTAGGTAATGAAATATAATATTCATTGTGAGAATAAGTAAGGTGTTTTACCAATGCCATTACTTATTCTCACAATGTCCAGTGGCCAGATGACCAAGCCAGTAGAGCATTGTTTACTGCCTTGGTCATATGGCCATTTTGGGAGATTTGACTTTAAGTCCAAAGTGAATTTCTTGGGTGTTTAGACCAAGATACATTGGGAATCATTTCTTACTGCTTCATGCATTCAGTCAGAGTTTTCCGGTTGAACTCATAAAGAGCATGAGAAAGGTTCTCTTTGCGCTACAAAGCAGAAAGCATTGAAAAATGTTGATATCTACAATATGCCATAATAATTGAGTTAAGGATTTTCATCACAGCTAAGTAAGCTGTTTTGTTTAGTTTCTATGTCTTTGGATGCTGGGAAGTATTCATCATACATAAACTGACGTTGAAAACAATGAGTAATGGTCTTTTTTCCAATCCAGCTCTGGGCTGCAGGAAACCTTTATTCAAGTTCATGGCATCCCTTGCCAATTACATTTCAAAGATATACATATGGGGACCCAAAAATAACCGGATTTTTTGTATAAAAACTTTATTTATTAACTTTTTTACAAAATTTCTTCAGTCACCTTCAAAGTACTCTCCATTAGATGCGATGCACTTGTGAAGTCTTTTTCCCCACTGTTTGAAGCATCTCTGGAACTTCAACTATGATATTGTCCAGTGCCCTTAGCAAAGCTGTTTTTACCACCTTCACATCATCAAAACGCTTCCCTTTTAGATTTTTCTTCATTCTCAGAAACAGAAAAAAGTCGCACGGGGCTAGTCTGGTGAATATGGAGGATGGGGAACGACAGGCCATTCGTGAGAGGCCAAATAGTGAGTCACTCGTAAGGCTGTGTGTGCGGAGGCATTGTCATGATGAAGGAACCAGTCACCTGATCGCCAAAGTTCTGGGTGTTTCCTTCACACATCCTCTTGCAGACGTCTTAACACTTTTTTGACGGATTTTTTTCAACGTTTTCATCGTTTTGAGATGTTGAAGGACTCCCAGAACTTTGCAGGTGGAACAAAATAACAGTAAGAGAAACACAACACTATGCTCAAACGTAAACCTACAAACTGACACCATTTGGACAGCTGTTTCGTGAAGGTCTCTACTAACCCCATTTGATGGGAGAACTCTGTACTATGTCTATGAATGATGCTGCCATTCATAGATGTAGTATCAGTTTGGTTTTTTTTTTTTTTTTTGGGTCCTCCCTCATACATGAATAAAACCTGACATAATTACAATCATGCATTTTTGGTACAATTCATCTCTCATCTTTAGAGTGGAAAAAAAGGATTGTTCCTCATTGGGTTCAAGGTCAGTTTATGTTTGTTTTGAATAAAGATATTATATGTGATATTAGCATTATTTTTGTTTGATTACACTTAACAGAGCTTTGAACAAAAATTAACCTAAATTGAAATTAAGTATGATTTTTATTCAAAACTTTATTACTATAACTTAAGTATTAATCAGACAAAATGTGAAAAATCATCAAAAACAATTCTTTATATTTTTGATAACAAGAATGATGCACTCTATAGATGCATGAATTAAAAAATTAATCTTTATGCTCTGAAGATGCATGAAGTTTACTCAAAAGAAGAAATCTATTTTTAAAATATAATTAGCAGCAAACTATACAAAATAAGATTGTTAATATAAGAAAGTTTTATTCTGTGAATTATTTCTTTAGGAAGGGAATATTAATCCACACCAACATTTGTCAGACCGTCTTTATTTTATCAATGCCATATCCAAATTTTGAGAATTTTCTTCTCCTCTTGAGGTGCCATACTGAAAAATGAATGAATGAGAAAAATTAAGCATTATACTGAAGAGGGAAAGAAAGTTCCTGAAAAACATACATTGCATTGACAAAATAAAGATGGTCTAGCAAGGCAAGTGTTGGTGTGGATTCTGTAGTTTCTTTAAGTAATAATTCATTGCATAGAAACTATAACATGGTTCCAAAATTTGACTATCCTAAAATTTTATTTTTCAGATCTTTCGTATAGCATTGCATTATGTTATTATCACATGAAACATTACGCTCCCGCTTTAAAACATATTGCTGATATAATTGAAAGAGGAATTAGAGAACATCCAGGTAATATTTTTAGTAATTTAATTCATTAAATTAATTTAACATTTTTATATATGAAATTAGATTATACTTTATTATTTTCAAAACTTTAAAAGTTATGAAATATAATTTGTTTTCTTACTGTGTTTTGATCTATTTGACTCCTTCAACACACTACTTTATAGCATCTGAGTATAAGTTTTTTACTTTTAATAATGTATAAGATCTCCTGCATATATACAGGAGATCTTACTTCCACTCTTTTGAGTGATATTTTGCCAGCTGATAGAAAACATTGAATACTAAAAAGTTTTCCCCCATACTCTTGTTTGATTTGACCTTGGTTTTGAGTTTTATGCCAAAAAAAAAACTGTCAAATGTGTAAAATAAATTTTTTAAATATCGCCAGTTATATTCAACTAATTCAATAGTTTTTTGTGTTTTTGTTGAATGTGTATTTTTTCCTTTTGTGTAGATTTTTTTCTATAACCTTGAAATCATTGTTTTTTATTTAATAAAAATATACTTTATTACACATATGTAGAATATTATTTACACATACATAATATTCTACATATGTTTAATAAAGTATGTTTGTTTTAAATATCTTAAAATAAGGGATTAAAGGTTTATTGTTAATACATTGGAAACTCATGTTTATATAAGAATCTCTCCTCACAACAACCTTGGAGCCATGCAACTTTCCCACACTTGACGTGTAGGTTGCCTTATATAAATGGTTAAATAGTGATATATGTCTGCTGTCACACATTTAACATGGGCCTATATCTATGCATGCACTGCAAGACATCACAACATCTAGTGAAATTTTTAAAGTTTTGTTCACCTGATGATGACAAACATAAGTTTGTTGAAAGCACTAGTGAAAATAAAATACTGTTAACGTCACACTCAGTGTATCTTTACTTCCTCTTATCTGATATTTGGCATGAAGATCAAACTATGTATTGTTAATAGTTTTTTTTATTAGTGAGGTTTTGTATAGGTCTTATAAAGATCTAAAACTAAAAAGTAACCATTAATCATTAATCTGCTTAACTGCATTTTTAAATTTTCACAACCATCAACTTGAGTCCAAGATCAAATTTTCAAATTGGTAGTACACAAAGCTTTATTATTGCAATCGGTTACACTCTCAGAAGAAACAAAATAAACTTACATTTCAAGGTCAGTTTGATGACCTTGACCATCTTTCTTATCTTGAAAATATTTTTATTGAACCATTGTGAAAATTATCTCAACACAAACAAAAAATTTAGTTATCAATTTTTCATTTAGGGTTTTGTTTTAAGATGAATTGAGATTGGTCGACTTTTTATTGAAATTGGTTGATTAAAAGCAGCAATATTCAAAAAAATAATATTTTACAAAACTGACAGTTTTTGCATATACAACTTGAAACCAAGACCAATTGAAGAAAAGTGTATGGGGAAAACTTTTTTGTATTCAACATTTTATATCTGCTGGCAAAATATCACTTAAAAGATTGGAGACATCATATATATGTATAATAAAATGAATCAAGAAGTATCTGCAATGATTTTCTTTATATCAATTGGAAAATAATAAAAAGAAAATTTATAGCCATCTTGTAGTTCATATGTACTATTTTGGAAGTATCTAGAAGCTTTGATTTGACTGTATGCCCATCCAAAAGTTTTTGTTTGACATGACTCCAACAATTCACTTTCATTCACAAGCATTATTATCCTTTGATAATTACAGTAATTTTAAACAATTGAGTATCTTATTCTAGATATTCAATGTTTGATTATTTAGAATTATAACAAGGATGAATTTGGTATTGTGATATCACAAAAACACGATTGGGTTTTTGTTTGTTGTTTATAAAATATTTTAGCCATAGATGCTATGCCACAGCTAAATATATTTTCCATATTATTAGATTATTTCTGATTCTGATTAAATTTCTATAGTTTTGACTCTTTCCAGACAAAAGTTCAGTCAGAAAAGATATTCTTTAATGTCATTGGATTTCTAATTTGTTTTCTTTTAATTCATATTTTTGATTCTCAAGCATACAAAATTTATTACTCTGATACTGGTTGGCAAACATTTGTTTATTATATGAGTTAAAATAACAGATTTGCGGAAAAATATCCTGGATTTTTATTCTATTTAATGCATATCATTTAATTAATTTTCTTGGTTCTTCTTGAATATGTGCTATATGACTACAGTTTACCATTCAAATAAATATATGAGACAAATTATACCAATCATAGAAAATATAAAAATTTATTTTTTAAGCATTTTTATTGTTTAAAATTTATCATATTCACTTCAGATCATATCAAATTAAAATACATAATTAATCTTATTAATGATGATGGTTTTCCTATGGGCCACCAGTGGCCGAGTGGATAAAATCATTAAACAATGATTGTCGATTATAGGTTTGCATTTGAATGGAGCTATGTGGAGTTTTCCATGTTTTCTTTGGGGGTCTAATACCTAGATAGGAGCCAGTTTTCCATAAAAAATCTCCCAGCAGGCCTTCCCCCTTCACAGATACTCTGTATGTTGCATTACCCTACATCATCTATCTAATCGACCAACCAAATTTCTGCTACATTTGTTTCAAATGTCTTGGTAATTCTGTAAATAATAATGTTGTAAATTTTTAAGTATTTTATAATGTAGAATATCAATTTTATTAGAAAAGGCTAATTTTCAATATTAAGAAAGATATTTTCTGTTATTATTTTATGTAAATTATCTTTATTAAAAGAAATAATAATCCGGAATTGTAATCTTTATAAACTTTGAGTAAGTAATACTCAAACAAATTTAAGCTTATAATTTAAATTAATTTTGAGTAAGTGAAACTCTTGAATCTAAATGGCTTTTAATACACTTTTCCCTTCCCTTCACAATAATTCCTTAAAATATAACTTGTACAAATACAGCATTAGTATCTGAAGTACTATTTGAATTCAGAATTCAACAAAATATAAATGTATTTACTAAGATAACAGGTTAATATTTTGTGATTCAACTAGTCATTTAGGCTTACAGATTGTACTTTTTTACTGACTCAAAACTTGTGAAATTGATTATAATTGTATCATTCTGTAAAGCAGTACTAGAAAATTTATATATTGATCATACCTTATTTAATAATTACTTTGTATATTTTGCTACTACAATGTTTACAAATTCTATGTATTATTATAAATACCATAGCAGAATTTTATGAAAATAATTTTACTAGTAGATAAAAAAATATATATATTACTAAAGATTATTGAAGGGTTGGTTTTACCATTAAGTGAACCTAGGTGATCGCCTAGGGCCACCCAGATATGGGGTGACAGCCTTACTCATAAACAAAGAAAATATAAAAAATATAATCAACTATTCCAGCTTTTGAGAGTATTTAGATGTTTAAAAGAAAAGANAAGAATATGTCTACAGTTAATGAAAAACTTGATTTTCTTTTAAATATATATTAATTACAAAAAAAATTACTTCAGCAAAACTGCTTAAAAATTATTTGACATTGGAAAATTACTTAAAACATGATATTGATGAAACAGATTAATCTGTTGAATTACAAATAATAGCAAGGCAAATTCCAAAAAATACTTCTTCATTAGATGTATAGTAAATTCTTCATTAGACTTCTACCATATATATGCAAAAGTAATTTAGAAAATGGGGTTTCAAATATGTTTTATTGCTCTGAAAATTTTTGCAACATTGCTAGTGTCAATAACAAGTTCAGAAAGGAGTTTTTCAAAATTAAAACTTATAAAAACATACACTTGCTCTGTGATGACTCAGGAATGACTAACTGGTATAGCAATAATATTTGTAGAACATTTAAATTGCATCTACAGTTGATTTAGATGTATTAATTCAAATAAGTTTTAATATAATAAGTCTTTTTTCTAGCAAATTCTTTAATTAAATAAGAGAACTAATGCTTTCAGCTGTTTTAAATGGCCTTCTTCTGTATAACGTGAAGAAGGCCTAAATTTTCTTTATCTAGGGGTGTCAGATACTGTTCCACTAGCCCTGGATTATTGTCAAAATTTAGAATATTTAACTGTTATGAAATAAATTTTCACACCTTGTGACCATCTTGGGTTGCAATTTTCAAAAACTTAAACCTATAAATTCCCACTCGCTGTCTGTCTTTCCTTAATCTCAAGAATGGAGTTAGATGAAAGTCAAGACCAGATATGGAAAGCTTTGGGTCAGGAGGTCCCAGTTAACTATATATGAACTTCTGGTTTCAACTGGAAATCACATTATTTTAATTCAAAAATTTTCTCCCGAACAGTTAGATAAATGACTGACATGACTCCATTGTTAACAGATAAAAGTATGATGTACACAGGCAAAATTGATAGCATTGTGACAAAAAAATTGTAGCCCAGCATTGTGACAATGTCACAACAAATAATTGCTCATTTAATTTGTGTAATAAAGTTAAACAATATACAGAATTATTTACATTTAAATTAATTTTTTTAAACTGAGATATAGCAATATATTGGGTACATTGCCTTTAATACAGCTGGATAAGCTAGCCAATGACATATTCTGTTTTATTTGAAACATCATCACATTGCTGAGTTGCGAACAGAATTATGATATGTAATTGAATTTAGAATTGTTTACCTCATTTATAATTAAATATAATAAAATGTTTTGAGTAATCTTTGAAAATTACTTTTTAGAACTTAGTGTTGGAATGACTACAGAAGGTATCGAAGTGCGCAGTGTCGGAAATACAGTTACCCTTCATGATACTGCCTTAATTGAAGCATTTAATTTAAAGGCTGCTATTGAATATCAATTAAAAAATTGTAAGTACGTTTTATTTTTTGAAATGTGAAATTTTATAATTCAATTTTTACAATAGAATAAGGTAAACAAACTGGAAGTATACCATGTAATAAAAACCACCAGAATATTTTAACACCAAATTCAAACAACTAACATTTTTGAACATGTCAAAAGGTGTTCCATGTTTCAAATTTTTGTTTCTGTTTTTATGTTTGTCTGAATTTTACCTGATGAAAGCAATTCAACATGGTTGAAAAAGTTAGTTGTTTGAATTAAACACACTTTGCTAGAATATTATGGTGGTTTTTATCTTACATAGATTAAAATGCCATGAAATTAGAGAATTGGAAAATTAGGAAAATAGTGGCAGAAAAATTAAAAATTTTTAAACTAGCATTATGAAAAATTTAATGGAATTTAATAGTTAATTTTTTCTTTTTGCAAAAAAAGGCCATTAGGTTAAACTGTGAAAGGAGTCAGTAAAATAGATAAATAGATTTATAAGAAAACGAAGAACTTTTTCACCACGCTGAAATGTTCATGAGATACATAGCACTGAGAACACTGTCTTTTCAGCATTATCCATGTTTAATAATGAAAATAAATGTTTTCACAAGTACTTTTGACCTTTTCAAGAATGTCTTTATCAGGCAAATGGCAAAAGAACATTTGCATTCCTGATAAACAAACGTACACATCCCATTTGCTTCTTAGAGCAAGAATTAGCAAGGTTTCTTAGATCTGTAATGTCTCTGTCTGAGCTGGTGGTATCTCTACCATTGAAGCAAGAGCTACAATCAATAGAATACTTGGATTTTTAGCACCAAATGGGTTCCTATTTTGCAAAATAGATATGGTTTTCTTATATCCAGCTGTGTTCTACCTTTAGGTGGTAATGCTAGCCAATGTACTATTAATAAACAAAGGATTTTCTATGCAACAAGTATTGGAAATACATAAGGCCCTTTTGCTTGTAACAGAGCATAATTATTTTCAGTTTAATAATGAAATTTACCTCCAGAAACAATCTCACATTGGAGCTCTCAAGGCTATGGGTCACACTGTATATACAAAGAAGACTGCTACTTTTTCAATGTAATCCTTTTCATATGGTAAAGTAGCACTAATCTACAATCTATGTTGTTGACTATCTACACAACATTTAATTTGTCTTTATGTTTGAATTTAAATTTCATAATTGTAAAAAATTATGTACACAGAACCAATTTATGATGTGGTAACATCGAAAGAAACGAACATTTTTGAACCCTTTCTGGGCTCTGCATCAGGTTTGAATGGTTTTTTTTACAATTTAAAGAGGAGATGCTTTTGTCAATGGCCTGGCAAGAGTTGATTCACAGCACACTCTAGCCGCTTGTTGTATTTTTGCCCTATTCATATTCAGCACCCTTGAATAATCATATTCAGCTACTTTGGTTTTGGAAGCTTTTTGGCTGTTGACCAGTGTAATTTAATTTCTATTTTCACATTTAATGTATTTTTGCAAACATTTCTGTTATAATTTTTCAGTTTATACAAAAAACTTTATGAAGAAACAAGAAGGCAAGAACCATGTAGGCAATACTTGATAAATATTTTACTGTAGTTGATTTTTAAAATTTTTTGGTTTGTGGTTTTTGGGGACTGCTCTAGTAGTTACTCTAAACTCTTTACAATCAATCTTTAATGTTATTTTGTTATTTGTTTTGTGCATGTATTTTCTACTTTGTCTAAAATCTTTTAACAAATTATTGAAGAATTATTAATTAATTATTTTGATTTCTTCATTTTCTACATTTTTACTCCTCCCAAACAAATAGTAAAAAGTTATGATTCCAGACAAATTATTAATGACATTACTCACAAATTAATTTATTTCCCATTGATTGTTAACTTTAATATGTGCTATAACTGCATGTATCAAGGGTTACATAGAGGTAAAGATTTCCAGCATTCTAAAAGTTAAGATATTATCTCCTCCTTCCAGTATTGTTTTTATAGTTATAGTAATACTTTTAAAATGCTATTTTTAACATTATTGTGTGATTGCCGACTTTTAAGGAAATCTATTAACTCCACATCAGGAATGGTCTAAGGTCTTTTCTGTATGTGGGTGGTGGTCATGGAGACAGAGGTGACATGTGCCTTTACAATCAACCCGTTTATTAAGACAAAAGGATGCTTACAGAATTTACAGAAAGATTCCTTTTGGGCAATGGTTTAAATAGTCCTTAGACAGTCCAAACGTATGTCTTTCAGTTTAAGGATCTGTTTTGGGGGACGGTGAAGATAAACAACAGTCCTGAGGCAGTATCGTAATGATGTTGGGCAGGTGGTTTGCCAAACACTAAGCAGGTGGTTCACTTAACTTCCAACTTCATGGCTGGAGGGGATGGAAAAGTAGGAGAGGAAACTTAGCAATTTCAATTTTTCTTAGACAGACACAGCAACACAATATCCAGGTAGCTGACACAATCCGGAGTGCCACAATGTGTTTAGCATGTTGCTACATTGAGTCTTGACTAACCGAGTATGTTGTGTCCTTGATGATCGGAGATTATATTAATCTGAATCTTTCGATTGGCTATTCCAATTGGTTGATTTCCCTCCTCTGCACTTTTCAAATGGTCATTTCTACATTACTAAGCATAACAGGATCCTGACTCTGAGTGCAGGAGAGGTCAACTTGGAGTTGACTTCAATCTCTCAACTAGAGATGGTCAATCATAGACTACATTCCAACTAAAATTTACGACTCTGCATCGCCTTCTAATATAAACAAAAGGGTATCTGACTACAAACAATTTTTCTTGCCTTTTTAAACAAATAAGTTTTTTCCTCCTAGTCAACTGAATTTTTGGGAATTTTGTGATGATTCAGACCTTTCTGGGGCCTCACATTGTCTAAACAACTGTTTTTGGTTTAAAATACATTTATAAAAGGTTTGCATCTTAAATTGAATTTAAACATATTATAGATAGAAAATGAGGATTCTTTTTTATTTCTATTAAATGAATGAAAATAGAGCTAATAAAGATGTAATATCTTTATTAGCTTCATTACTGTAAGTATAAATTTTTACAAAATGTTTGTACAAGAAAGTTTTTACATTGGTTAATTCTCATATATGGAATTTTTAAAGATATTAATTATTTTTGTATTTATACTTATAGTCCATATTGAGTCTTATTTATAAAATAATTATTATAATTGACTATCTAATGGCCATATTCACAACCAAGGCAAGAGTTAGAATTAGAAGTTAGCCAATTACCATTCACTTTACTTTTGTGAGCTCTGAATAGACCCTGTGACTAATTAATAATTTAATTATAAAGTTAAATTTTTAGTGGAAAATATTCTTTAATTTTGGTGAGAAAATATCATTTTTCTAAAAAGGAAATTGATAAAAAGTGGGAAATTGTGGGAAATTGATAAAAAGTCACTTCCTTTAACGGAAGTTGAAACATCCTTTTGTTTTACCCTTATCTACTAACAATCTCAGCACCCTGGGAACTGTCGACCCCTCGATAAATCCCCTTTTCCTCTGTTCATGTGAGAGAATCCAAAATGTTGATTGGATGAAAATCATGAGAAATAGAAATGATTTTGCACGATTCGGGGAGTACTCCAGAAGATCTCATAGAAGACAAACGTATTCCATATTGGCTCCCTAAGGCCAACACCCTTAGTTAGGAGTACGCCGAGGAATCTCATAGAAGACAAACGTATTCAATACCGCATCCCGATGGCCAACCCCCATAGTCATATCCTGCAGATTTTAATAATGAGTTCAAGTTAGTAAGATAGGAAAATTTTTATTATGTGCCACTCAAGACCTTACCACGAACTGAAGTATAAGAACTGCATGAATTAAAGTATAAAGAAACTAAAGATAAAGAAGAAGAGGAAACCTACAGAGGTAGTATGATCATAATAGAAAATTGTGAGCTCTCTCTCTCGAAACTTTTATATTAATTATTCCATTGTGTATAGTTTTATTCTTTTGTCTTATTAAATTTAGCTATTATTATTGTTAAAGGAATGTCTCAAGTGTCTGAATCAAACATATTCTCTCCACAAATGAAACGCGTATTAATCCGTGTATCTAAATTTGATTAACTGGTGTCGGGAATCCTGACGAGGGAATGAGTGATTACGAAATCCTCTAATTCCGCTTTAAAATAATCTTCAATCTGTAAGTCCCTCTGCACTCGACTTTCTTCAATAGAAAACCATCCTTTCAGACAAACAGAGGGCTATTCTAAAGAATAGATGCTGATTAAGTGATACTAGAGTCTTACCACTCTATCCACAGCTGAGCCCCTCACACTTTTAGTATGTGAATGCTTTTTGGTTAACTTTTAACTCCAACTCTCAAACTGAATATGGATATTAATATCTTTTCATGTTTACTCAAAAGAAAGCAAACACTACAAATTTTTAAATCAGTTTATTTTTTTTCTAATGATTGCTGATAAACAAATAAACATTGATCAGTTATCTTGTTCATATAATCCTATCTTAAATTATATTCAGACTTAGGGTGCGACTATGCAGTTGTGAGCAAGTAAGAATATGTAGCAAGAAGAGGTGATGACATTTCACGCTCTCTGTTTCTAACTCTCATTTATTACAACTACACAGATGAGAGTGAGAAACAGAGAGCATGAAATGCCATCATCTCTTTTTGTCACATATTCTCACTTGCTTGGAAAATTGCTCACTCGCATCTGCATAGTCACATCCTTAGAGTGACTGAAATAAAAATATAATTATTGTAATTATTTATTAGCCAAATGAAATAAACTTTAATCTAATAAACATATTATTTTAAAACTTTGTAAATTAATATAGGGATCATCCATAGATTATGTAACAATATTTTTATACTTTTCAATTACCACTCTTCCATCATACATATCCATTTGTCAAATTGCTAATACGTATCCTCAATCAGCTCCCTTAATTGTATCAAAGAATGATACATTGCTCAGGCTATCAAATCTTACATTATTTTATTAATTACATGCATAACATACAAAACAGGGACGTAAACAGTATAGTTAATGTTGCAAAACTAACTAAATAATTGTTCTGTTACCCAAAAGTTGAGATCCTAGCATTAAATAACATTTTTGTAAACACTATTCACCCCCTTGTAATACATTATAATGATTACTTCTTATCCACTCCCTTGTAATATAATGTGATATATGGACAGTCCCATAATTTTATAATACATAACAAACCAGAAAAATTGTTTTATAATTTTTTTATTCTAATTATTGTTTAATTACAAAATTGTTCTATTTTTAATAGATGATGCTGCTCGAGAAGCATTGACAGACATGCCACCGAGGTCAGAAGAGGAATTAGATGCGGTTACACTGCATAATCAAGCTTTGATGAATATGGAAACTCAACCAACCGAAGGATTTGAAAAGTTACAATTTTTAATTCAACAAAATCCATTTCCACCTGAAACATTTGGAAATTTATTGTTATTGTATTGCAAATATGAAGTAATTGTTTTTTATAAAGTGCATAAAATATATTTTTATGCTGCATATCATTTTATTGTTATTATTTGCTTTTCAGTATTATGATTTGGCTGCAGATGTTCTGGCTGAGAATGCTCATTTGACTTATAAATATTTGTCTCCAGTAAGTATATTTAAAGCTTCTTTTTAAATTAATTTATGCCAAATTTTAACAGATGCTAAAATATTTAATTTTAATATAAACATCTAAAAACCTGATTTTAGATTAAAGTTTCTTTCTACCTTTCTTTAAAGCCAAATGATTGATGGATTACATTGGGTTATATTAATGCTACTAATTACTAATTAACCCCTTAAGGACATTGACATTTTTGATATTATATAATTATTAATTTAATTAAATGTAAAAAATACTTAAAACTGAAAAAAACGAAAGAAATGCGTTTATTTTCAAGAAAAAGCTTCAAATTTTATTTTCCTTTGCCTTGTCTTTCTGTGAAATATAACACAGATGAGTCATTGTTTACACAGCTGGATGACCTTGAGAACAGCTGGAGTCAGATTTTCCGGGACATTCTCATAGAAGTCTCAGGAGGCGATGTGTTTATAGTAGGGTGACTACTAGTTGGCCGTATATTTTTAAATATTTTTAAAAAATTAAAATTTTAATTGCGATTTCCGACCCCCCTGGCTTAATTAAACTTATATATAATAAAATCTATTAATTTAAAAAATTAAAAAACTATCGGAGGTCGTTTTTGACATTAGAAACTAGCTTTAAATAACTTTACCGAAGGAAAATCGGTGCACTACAACTTTAGAATGATGAATGAAATTTGATATCAAACTCTCATTAAAAAACAATTAAAAAGCAATAAAGCGTGAAGCGCATGTCATTAAAGGTTTTTTAAAATCACGATAAAATTTTTTTGCGCAGGCAAAAAATTTTGAAAAAATTTGGGGATCTAAAAAACATTCCAAAAATTCAAAAAAAAANCTTTTTAAATTAATTTATGCCAAATTTTAACAGATGCTAAAATATTTAATTTTAATATAAACATCTAAAAACCTGATTTTAGATTAAAGTTTCTTTCTACCTTTCTTTAAAGCCAAATGATTGATGGATTACATTGGGTTATATTAATGCTACTAATTACTAATTAACCCCTTAAGGACATTGACATTTTTGATATTATATAATTATTAATTTAATTAAATGTAAAAAATACTTAAAACTGAAAAAAACGAAAGAAATGCGTTTATTTTCAAGAAAAAGCTTCAAATTTTATTTTCCTTTGCCTTGTCTTTCTGTGAAATATAACACAGATGAGTCATTGTTTACACAGCTGGATGACCTTGAGAACAGCTGGAGTCAGATTTTCCGGGACATTCTCATAGAAGTCTCAGGAGGCGATGTGTTTATAGTAGGGTGACTACTAGTTGGCCGTATATTTTTAAATATTTTTAAAAAATTAAAATTTTAATTGCGATTTCCGATCCCCCTGGCTTAATTAAACTTATATATAATAAAATCTATTAATTTAAAAAATTAAAAAACTATCGGAGGTCGTTTTTGACATTAGAAACTAGCTTTAAATAACTTTACCGAAGGAAAATCGGTGCACTACAACTTTAGAATGATGAATGAAATTTGATATCAAACTCTCATTAAAAAACAATTAAAAAGCAATAAAGCGTGAAGCGCATGTCATTAAAGGTTTTTTAAAATCACGATAAAATTTTTTTGCGCAGGCAAAAAATTTTGAAAAAATTTGGGGATCTAAAAAACATTCCAAAAATTCCAAAAAAAAAAAAATTGGGGGGGCCCAAACACCCGTGTTTTTCGTAATGCTATGTAACTTGCCCGAGATATCTCAGGTTATGGGCTTAAGGGGATGTCAGGTAATTTGGCTTAGAGGTAGGCATTAAGTGCTGTCTTTTGATAAATTTAATAATTATAATTAAATCAATATTTTAATAATTAATTTCAGAGGTTCTGGAAGAAAAGATTTGGCTCAAACTGGGACTTGAATCCACAACTGCTGCTTGCCATATGGATGCATTGCCAGTTATGCTACTTGGACTACTATCTGATCTTTGCTTCCAGAACTATGAATATAGATATAACCATACTATTTCTTTGTAGAAAAGGGCTGGCAGAATTACAATACATCTGAATACGAGTCCAATTTTGCTTGCCATGTCCAATCACCAGAACAACTATTTCTATTGCAGAGACAACCTTTCTTTAGAGGCTATGCCTCTGCACAAATATGCAAAACAGTTTAAAATGTCCAAAGGTGACAATCCCAACACAATTAAAAATATAATATTTCTTTGTAGAAAAGGGCTGGCAGAATTACAATTTAATAAAAAGTAAAATACATCTGAATACGAGTCCAATTTTGCTTGCTATTTTGCCATTGTATTTTACTTTTTATTAAATAACCATACTAGTTAATGACAATAATATGTCCACATGGCAAGCAGAATTACAGGTTTGATTCTGCTTCAGGTCAATTCTTTTCTTCCAGAACCTTCTGAATGAATTATTAAAACACTAAGAAATGAAAATCTGACAATGTCCTGTTTTTACAAGTTTTAAAAATTTGTTAATAATTATGTAAAGTGATTGGGACAGTTTCGACAGAGATCGGCTACAGGAAGAAGATAAGACTCTGGGCTTCAGCAGTAGCCTACAGAGAAAGGTCTGTTGTGAGAAATGATTTTATCAGTTGTGGAACTTTTTCATCAAGATGTGAACATTTTTATTGCTCGTTGAAATTTTTTTTAAAGAAATTATAATTATTAAATTTATCAATAGATAGCATCTAATGCCTATTTCTAGGCCAAATTACTTGGCATTTAATTAGTAATTAGTAGCATTAATATAGCGTAATGTAATCTGGCAGTTATTTGGCTTTAATTGAATTTTAATGAATATAAATTAATGAATATAATGAATATCAAATTAAATTTAATAATAATTATAATTATATCAATATTTTAATAATTAATTTCAGAGGTTCTGGAAGAAAAGATTTGGCTCAAACTGGGACTTGAATCCACAACTGCTGCTTGCCATATGGATGCATTGCCAGTTATGCTACTTGGACTACTATCTGATCTTTGCTTCCAGAACTATGAATATAGATATAACCATACTATTTCTTTGTAGAAAAGGGCTGGCAGAATTACAATACATCTGAATACGAGTCCAATTTTGCTTGCCATGTCCAATCACCAGAACAACTATTTCTATTGCAGAGACAACCTTTCTTTAGAGGCTATGCCTCTGCACAAATATGCAAAACAGTTTAAAATGTCCAAAGGTGACAATCCCAACACAATTAAAAATATAATATTTCTTTGTAGAAAAGGGCTGGCAGAATTACAATTTAATAAAAAGTAAAATACATCTGAATACGAGTCCAATTTTGCTTGCTATTTTGCCATTGTATTTTACTTTTTATTAAATAACCATACTAGTTAATGACAATAATATGTCCACATGGCAAGCAGAATTACAGGTTTGATTCTGCTTCAGGTCAATTCTTTTCTTCCAGAACCTTCTGAATGAATTATTAAAACACTAAGAAATGAAAATCTGACAATGTCCTGTTTTTACAAGTTTTAAAAATTTGTTAATAATTATGTAAAGTGATTGGGACAGTTTCGACAGAGATCGGCTACAGGAAGAAGATAAGACTCTGGGCTTCAGCAGTAGCCTACAGAGAAAGGTCTGTTGTGAGAAATGATTTTATCAGTTGTGGAACTTTTTCATCAAGATGTGAACATTTTTATTGCTCGTTGAAATTTTTTTTAAAGAAATTATAATTATTAAATTTATCAATAGATAGCATCTAATGCCTATTTCTAGGCCAAATTACTTGGCATTTAATTAGTAATTAGTAGCATTAATATAGCGTAATGTAATCTGGCAGTTATTTGGCTTTAATTGAATTTTAATGAATATAAATTAATGAATATAATGAATATCAAATTAAATTTAATAATATCATAAGTAAATTATGTTCACTAATTTCTTAATCTTGTATATGAAAGATGTACAAGTATCAGAATTTCTTATATGTGTATAAGAAATGATTGTAATTCTGATATACAGGTCTGTGCCACTTAATGATTCCAAGAAATATATTGTTAAGTGAACTTCATAGAATGTACTTAGACAAACCTCATAAGTTACAGTCTACTACTTATGTAAGCCTCAAATTATGAGTATATAATAAATTAATTAATTTATTATTTTTAAAATAGCCCAAAAACGTCAATATTTATTTATTTATTTTAGTACAAGTGTTTTATGTTTCTATAACAAAAAAATAATATAAATTAATAAGTGATCTGCTTGAAAAGCAAATTAAAATGAAATTATGTTTAAATTTTAAACCAGTGAAAAGTTCAATAAAAAATTATACTGGTGGTGAACTGTTGTGATGGCCACTTCACTTTAACAAGAAACCATATGACGGCCATATGGGCAAGTTGTTAAGAGATAACAGCATACCACTCCAGGGAACGCAGGAACAAATCCGGACAGGTCAAATAAATCCAGGAATTTTCGAGGTAGTTCAAATATGTCGAGCGCTATCTCTTGCCACTCAGCCATCTCACTGCAAGCCTGGCCAAACCCAGAACATACTTGAGAAACAGGTCCTTTTAGTGTTCATGTGGCAGAAAGAGTAAAATAAAAATAAAAAATCCAGGCCACTGTAATAAACTACCATGCTGTTTTTATTATTGATTATAATNTTTTAAAATAGCCCAAAAACGTCAATATTTATTTATTTATTTTAGTACAAGTGTTTTATGTTTCTATAACAAAAAAATAATATAAATTAATAAGTGATCTGCTTGAAAAGCAAATTAAAATGAAATTATGTTTAAATTTTAAACCAGTGAAAAGTTCAATAAAAAATTATACTGGTGGTGAACTGTTGTGATGGCCACTTCACTTTAACAAGAAAACATATGACGGCCATATGGGCAAGTTGTTAAGAGATAACAGCATACCACTCCAGGGAACGCAGGAACAAATCCGGACAGGTCAAATAAATCCAGGAATTTTCGAGGTAGTTCAAATATGTCGAGCGCTATCTCTTGCCACTCAGCCATCTCACTGCAAGCCTGGCCAAACCCAGAACATACTTGAGAAACAGGTCCTTTTAGTGTTCATGTGGCAGAAAGAGTAAAATAAAAATAAAAAATCCAGGCCACTGTAATAAACTACCATGCTGTTTTTATTATTGATTATAATGGAAGCCTGAATATTATACCAATTGTCATTGATTGTTTTTGTCAGAACTGGTTTTTTTTTTAAATTTACATATTGTAGAATATAAAATGATAGTGGTGGAGTTTCCAATTAATATGAAGTGGTCATTGCAAAAGTCTGTTATTAGAGCAATTTTGTATTGAACATTTTACAAATAAAAAACTTAAAAATAATTTTGACCATTACCATTTTATGTTTTACAATGTAGAATTATGTTTTATCTGTATAAGATTTTGAAATGAATTATTAATTGATTTCAAAAATTTAAATATATATATTGTTAAGACAATTAATATTGTAAATTTACAGTTTTGTTAAAAATTAATATATAATTTTTTTCCAGTATCTGTTTGACTTTTTAGATGCTTTAATTACTCAACAAACATCACCAGAAGAAGCTTATCGTAAATTTGATGAAATGGCTGCTCACCATACTGAAATGTTAAGAAAATTGACAAAGCAAGTCCAGGAAGCAAGACAAAATCATAATGATGATGGTGTGAAAAAAGCTGTAAACGATTATGATGAAGCTCTTGAAAGGTGTTTTATAACAACTTACATTAATACAGTAGATCCCCCTATAAAACCGTTTCCTATAGTTATGATTCCTATAAAAATTGTAAACAAATCCGTAAACAACGGTAAAAATAACTCCTATAATACGTAAAACGTCATCGNGCTTCAACAGGTCTACAGTAGGCACAATCTTAGTTAAGCAAAATATAATCAAGAAGCTCAAGTAGCTAAAGGCGTAATGAAAATTACATCTGAGAAACAAAGATGTGCCATCCATGATAAAATGGAGAGATTGTTTTTAATTTAGATAAAAGAAAGGGAAATGAAAATAGATGTAACTAGTATGACTATCATTCAAGAGAAAGCTAGAGAAATTTTTGGAGAACTGAAGAAATAAACTCCACATTTGTCACATGAGGAAATATAATTTAAGGTGTTTTGAAGCATGCCAGTTCTCTTCAATGATGACATTAAAAATGTTTTGGAAAGAAAAATTTGATATTCTCAAAGCTATCAGACTCATTCAAAAGACTTGGTCAGAACTTATTCAATGACAGTTGAATTCTACTTGGTGAAAGCTGTATTCCTCCTGCATTCAGGGAGATGGAGATGATGTCCCTGAAATTATGGATGAAATTGTGACAACTGCTAGAGATCTCAAATTGGAGGTGAATGAAGATGACATTGAAGAGTTCATAATGAAACCTGAAACTGATTTGATGACAGATGAACTACAAGAACTCTTGAATGAAGAACCAAGAATCTCAGCAAGATGTGTTTTTTTTTCTGAAAAAAAAGATGAAAGAAGAACAATGTAGACATCTGCTATTAAAGATCTTTTGAAGAAGTGGAAAGATGTCAGAATAACAGTCTTAGAATGGCATTTAAACAAGGTTCACGATAATAGGTTTTTGAATCTCTACAATGACAATGCTATTAATTACTTCCAAAAAATCCTGAAGAGGAAAAAGAAATCAACATTGGACAGATTCTTTAACATCCCATAAATGGAAAAAAACACGACTGATAAAAATTTAAGACTGTGTATGAATATATTATTATTATCATTATTATTATTTGGCTGTTCTATTTTTGGCAAGAAGAAAGTCTTTATTTATTAACTGACTAAGCTGGCACGATGGAAGACCATCTCTCATCACATAAATGTCTGTTGTGGGCACAGTCACAGATGATGTGGCATACATTAATACCTCGACTTATGCTACCCCGACTTACACAAACCTGGAGTTACGCGATTTTCAAATCTCGTTGATTCGTCTTTTGTTTGAACACCACGAAATTCTTGTTTACTCACTCCCGCCACACTATTGTTCAGCTTACATGTTCAGACGTGTCGCGCGGAATCGACACATAGCTACAATTTATTTTGTGTTATTTATTTTTGTGTTTGTTATATCTATGGAGACTCGAGAGACTCTATGTGGTGATTTCTCGTAACCGTGAACTAATCAAAAGACAATAAGATTAACGAGAACATTTATTAGCTTACATACATCCAACTTGGATTTTACACAAATTGCAAAATTATACCCCAACTTACGTGAATTCGACTTACGCGGTTATCGCTCGGTCCCACCTATCACGTAAGTTCGGAGTATTACTGTATCTGAAAATTTCTGAGAATCCAATTTGTACTGAAATCCAGATTCCTCAGCATAAGTGCCTATTTATTTTAGTCATTTAGCTATTATTATATATTTTAATAAATTGCTTAAAATTTTGTAATATTTGAAAAATTAATTGAATGATTATTTTTGAATTTTTAAGATACATTCCAGTTCTTATGGCCCAAGCGAAAATTTATTGGGAAATGGAAAATTATCAGCAGGTAGAGAAAGTGTTTCGTAAATCGGTTGAATTTTGCAATGAGCATGATATTTGGAAACTTAATGTTGCCCATGTTCTCTTTATGCAAGAAAATAAATTCAAAGAAGCTACCGGATTTTACGAGCCAATTGTTAAAAAACATTATGATAATGTAAGATTTAATGAACTCTTTTATATTTTTTGATGCTTTTAATAATGTGAATGTAATAAATTATTATTATTTATAACGTAGATATTAAATGTAAGTGCAATTGTTCTTGCAAACCTTTGTGTGTCGTACATTATGACAAGTCAGAATGAAGAGGTAATTTCTTTTTTCTTTCATTTATTTATGAATTGAGATAATATTTATCATCTTGAATTGAAAGAATGCAATAAATAAAAACTAAATTAAATAATCATATGAGTATAAATTTTTTCTCTATCCTCAGATATATACAACCCCATTGAAACAATTAGTTAAAAAAGTGCCAAAATATTTAGGAGTCTGAATACTTTAATCAAAATTAAATGTTTTTCAAGACATTTTGTCACATCAGCAGATCACAATAATTCTAATTCAAACAAATTAGAACTATCAACATTATATTGTAACATTACTACTGTTAATATTATATCTTTATTTTACATTACAGTCGGTTAATTCATATGATTTAGTGAAAATTCAAGATGACTAAAACACAAAAGTTATGGTGAAGTTTACAATGTTCCTTTCAGTGAAGGCTAACATTCAGTTCTCCCACAATGCATGTTTTTGGTTTCCTTTGGAATAATTCTGCTAAACAGTAGCACTGCAAATATTCCAAAGAATGTTTATTTAAAGATATAAAATATTTAGAAGTCTAAATATTTTATATCTATTCTTTGACTGATAAAAGAAAAAAATTATTTATATATAAAACTGATATATTATTCACAGAGATGCACAAAATCACACCATACTAAACTGAGGTTCTTAGCAAGCATTGAAATTACATTAAGTATGAGGAGGAGTGATGATGTCAGCTCTGTAGGTTACAAAGTTTACTAAAGAGAAACCTCTGGCAGGTATTCTGGGTAAAATATCTTCCTATTTCCAACACTGATGGTTAGCTGTTTAATCATTCCTGCAGACTCATTTGGGTACCTGCCATTCTAGACTTTTTAAACTTGTTGACCTCCATTTCCATTTCTAGCTTACTCTATATCTCCCACTTAGGCTTTCGCAGACACCAACTCTCCTTCCTCTTTCATGCTTCTCTTTTTATAGATGTTTTTTGCCATAAACAATGGAAATGCAGTCATCCAAAGTCAGAATTATGTAATCACCAATCACAGTGATTATCCACAAAAAAAAAAAGAAAAAAAAAAAAGAAATGTACCGGGTTTCAATGGGTACCCACTTAGCCCAGCGCTTGACAACGCCTTCTATCCATTACTTCTTTCCTTTGATCCAGGATGTTTTTTCAACTCCTGTAAACAAAAGCAAGGCTTGGAACTGTGTGATATATTTTGGTGATTTGGGTGATGTAATATATTTTGAATATTTCAGTAACATTGGCAGAATATTTGAAAACTATTCTTTGTTCAAATTAGAACTATCATGATCCAATGATGAGACAAACTATCTTGAAAAGCATTTAATCTTGATTAATATATTCAGGCTCTAAATATTTTAGAACTTTTATTTTTGGCTGACTTTTTTTTCCTTTATGTAGATATTTAAATGAGGATTATTTTTACTTTTAAACTTTTCACATCTTCAAAAGTTTCATAGGTATAAAATTTTGTATTTATCAAATAGGCAGAAGAATTAATGAGAAAAATTGAAAAAGAAGAAGAACAATTAGCTTATGAAGATCCTGATAAAAAAATATTTCATTTGAGTATTGTAAATTTAGTTATTGGGTAAGATATTTATTTATTTCAAAATTTATATTACATTTTTAAAAATTTGATTAGTTTGCTTTCGAATTTCTGAATGTAACTTAATTAATTCCATATTAGTTTTAACTTTCAATAATTTTCAATAGCTTTCAATACCCAATTTTTAACTACTACAAAATATATAGAAGTCTTCCTATTTGGCATATTTTGGAAAGTATTTAATATCAAAGTTAATATTTTAATACAATTAAATATGGTAGATCCTATTTTATAGTTTCTCTTCTTTGATTGAAGTAACTCTCTGTTTTAACTATGTATGATTCGACATTTAAATACTATATTTGTTGTTTTTTGCTATTTTGATATTATACTGTACAGTTAAAACTGTATTTTTGACAAGACTGTCTTGTTTATAAAATTGTGGTGCTGTAATGGCTGGACTCCTTAGAGGTATGAAGGAGTACATGTCAGGAATTGCAATTTTATGTGCACATGATTTGGACACCAAATACTCTGTGCCCAAATCATGTGCACATAAAAAAAAACAGACTTATAGGTACTCGGGACCGAGAACCGAGTCAAAATAAAATACAAAATGGCGGCACTCTTTCTGTAAATAGGTGCTAATGTGAGATTTGTGCATGTTGCTCATTGGGAAGTTTGACGTTCAAATACAGTATTGCAAAATCAAATTTTGACAAACAAATCTTTGAAAAAACCCATTTACCTGTCCCATGTTATTCCCGACAAATTCTAAATACTATTTCAAAATGTTTTTACATCTTCATTGATGATTTATCAATAAGAGTTTATGTTAGAAGCACTTTTTATCACTCTTTGGTAAGGAAAAAAATGTTTCTTTATTTCTTTAAAAATTTTCTTCTTTCGAAGATTTCTATCTAGTTTATTTCCAAAGATGGGTGAGAACCCTCATTGAAGAACCCTCATTTGACTAATATCTTTTGTCCGACTGCCAGATGGTAGAGGCCGACTGCTTTGGGATATAGTAAATATTTTTCAAAAAAGCTTGATATGATCAAAACATCATACCTTGGAATGTTTATACTTAGTAAATATCTTATGAAAGACTTAAAAGAAATAAATAATTAATCAGAATGAATACAGTTGTCTGAAAGTATGATGTGATTAAAGAAATTGTCCTTGTTTCACTTTACTTATTTGCAAAACTTTAATATTTACTTTTTTTCCACTTTCAATAAAGCTACACCAACTACCATATAATATCAGGCTATATTTTGGCAATATTAATATTAAATTTAATTTTGAATTACCAATTAATTTTGTCTCTAGAAGGAGGTATTAGGCACCTTCCTCTAGGACAAAATCAATCAGTAGTTGTTGTAGCTTTACAGTAACGAATCGGGTTTTGTATGATGTTTATATTTTCTGACTTTCTTTGTCTTCAAGAAGTTTTTGATTTTTAAATGCTCTGAAGACTTTGTTCTCTTAATGAACTTTATCTAATAAGTTTTCAGAATTTTATATTCTGAAGAATTCATTATATATTTTATAAACATTTGTTAAGGATCTCTGATGATGGATGAAAATTACAAATATTTAAATATATTGTAATTGTGTTGAACATTCTCAAACTGGGTGGGGCTGGAGGGCTAAGATCCCTCCCAGTGAGATTCATTGCCACCTTCAATTAAGGAAGTGGTAATTAGGAGAACCAAGAAAAAGTTCAGTTTGAGTCTGGAAATCAAACTGGATGGATCTGAGATGAGAATGTTTGGATGGAGAGAAATATGATAGCTAAAAGAAAAACTGTACAGAAGATAGTTTTTTGTTCTTTGCTATGAGTTATGGAATGTTTTATTTATTTAATCTTTTTTCTATTGTTGGAAATTTTTGTGTTTGTATGTAACTGCTTCTGAGATTGTTTTGCATTGTACATATTGGAATTACGGGATGGGGCATATATGTGTCTTGGAGAGAAAATACTGTATTTTTTGAATGGTTTCTTAGAAACAAGTTGTGTATGAGCATTTGATAGAGGGGACGATTACTTCTCTATCAAATGATCAAGAAGTGCTTGAGAAGTTCTTGATGACCTCAAACAAATACAAAGGTGCTTAAATGTAACATCATTTTAAGTTTTAAATTTTTCAGATAATGCATTTTATTCAAACTGAATATACAAAATGAAATACAAGTACAGACCTATTTTTCTATATATGAAACATTTATGCACTTATCCTTGCACTTCACGAGGTTGAAAATACAGTCGACCCCCCTATAACGTACGTTCCTATAACGACAATTCCTATAACGTAGCGAAAAAATTGTAGAAACTTTCGTATAAAGTACCTCCTATAACGTCGTTTCGTGACAAGATTGATAGAGTCTGGACCAATAGTGGATGAGCAGCCGAACTACTTACCTCCGATACTGCGCCACGCTACGGAGCGGCTAAATTGAGTTTGCTATCGTCTGTTTAGTATTATATATAAATTATATATAAATTAGGTACTGTACATATAATTATATATTAATTATATATAAATTAGGTACTGTATATATAATTATATATTAACTTAATTTATTGTAACTTTATTATAATTATATATATGCTTTCTGCCGCCTGGCAACACGCTACGGAGATTTTAGGCTAGTAAGTTGAGTTTATTATCGTCTGTACAGTATGTAAATTAGGTACCGTAAGTCTAATACAGCACTAATTTTATACATTTCTTGTGAAAGAAACACTTCTTATTCAACGGCCATAAAAATTATTTATATTAATGATGTCTCCAAAGGTCAAGTTATTTTTCTGCCAAAAATTCGTTATCAGAAATTGCGGCCGTCGTTTCATGTGCTGTTCCGCGATGAAAACCAGCTTTAAGCAACGGCGTAGTCGAACGGTACACACTCGGTAAGTAATCCTACAATTTTTTGTTTATAGCATAGTTTATACAGATTATTCCCAAAAAATTATACGTATTTTGGAAATGTTGAGTCTAATTAGTCTAGAATCGGTTAATTTTATAGAAGAAAACCTTTCAAACAGCCTTAGTCCGTAAAGTTCCCACCTATCGGGCTGCGATTGGCTCATGTATTTAATCATTCCTACAACGTAAAATTCGATTAGCGTGGAACGTATCTAAGCGTTATAGGGGGAGTCTACTGTACTCTGTCTGTTTTTTGAGAGTTGAGTCTTGGATATCAGTTCCTCATCTGTTTAAAATCTCTTTTCTCCGAGAAACATTTTACTTTGGACCAAATAGATAGTAGTCACTAGGCACTAGTGGAAGTGGAAAAGTTCTTGATCCTAGGCCAAAATGCTTTCCACAACCTTCTGTGCTTGCGGCCAGATCGCCACCCATTGCAAAGTCTTGTTCACTTTTATTTGAACATTTTACACCATTGTCAAATGTTGGAATAATTTGTGCACTCTTCAGAATACATTTCCAACATTTTGGCATGGATTTGCAATAGTTTTCATCTTTTTGTTTAAAACAATTACATGACAGCTGTCTATTTCTCTATAGTGGATGATGTAATAAGAGATGCCATTGTAAACCAAATTATATCACTTGCCTGTGAGATGTTAGTACCTGTTGAAATTCCATGGGAAAGAAAAAGGGTGTGGTCCTACTACTTTATCAAATCCAAATTAAAATGAATGCAATAGAAAAGAAAAGACATTAATTTTCAAAACACTCTGTATTTGGTCCCGGATTGATAGCAGAAAAGGCTCCACGTAGCCCAGATTTAAACTCTGTAGACTTGCAATACTAAGAACTATTAAAGATAAAATTGGCATATCTACAATTCATACCTTGCAGATTGTTCGGAAGCACATCAGACACACAACAAAAGAAATTTCATCATCAGTAAGACACTATATTAACTATATAAACAATTTTATGTATTCCTGCAGAATTTGATTGTGTCTGAAGGCAAACATTTTGAAAACTGTTTTATAGTTCATTTGTTACTTAATTAATTGCATTTTATTAAAATCAAATTGCATATACACATTTTGAATAATTTAAGTCTTACACCTGGACAAATGTATGTATGGTCCACCCTGTACATATCCCACCATTTTCTGGGAAGTATTATTGTAACTCAGTTTATGGCTATTGAGTGTTGTATTCACAACTTACGTTAGATTTAATTTTAATTGTAATTTGCCAAAGTAAAGGAAAAGGTGAAGTTATTTGATTGCATAATTTTTTTTTCTAAAACAGCTGTCAATAACTCAGTAAAGATTTGATGCAATAAAAACTTTCTAGTTTTTTAAAAAAGTGCATTTAATGAAGAATATTATTGTTAAGGCAATGATATTTATTGGAATGTGTAGTTTGCATCCGAAAGTGATTGAATTTATATCATTTTTGTACATTACACATAAAGATGAGCTGTAAAAAATTTGGAAATGCTTAAGATTTTGACTACTGAATGAAGTTATAGTTTCTACTAAATAAAGTAAACTTAAAGTTCTTTATTATTTCCATATTTTAACTTAAAAACTCTTTAATTAAATATGGAAATTTAGAAAAGATAAAATACTTATGCCAGAAACATTAGCATTATAATATCTTTAAAATTCTATTCTATTTGATATTAAAGTTGAATGCTATTTTTATTGTTTGGCTTGAGAATGACATAAATATGTTAAATATGTTTAGCACTTAAGTATTTTTTTTTTTGTAATTTCTATATCTTTATATTCAAATTAAACAGTATTTAAATATGTCCCAAATTTATAACATTGCTTCTTCATCAAATATAATTGGAGATTAGCCACAAATAGTTTTATTTGAAAAATATTTGAAAATTTACATGTTCTGAACTCAATACATTGTGTAATGAAAACTTGTTTTTAATAAAGATTGCCTGAATTAGTTCCCCTTTTTTTTTTTACTCTTTTTTGGTTGGCTCATTAAGGACCTGGCCACAGTGCATTTGGCCAGATCTGTAGTGGGCTAAATGGGTGATGAGGGACAGAATGAGAAAAATTTCTTGGGTTTTTTGGCCTCCGGAGCCATAGG